AGCAGCAGTGGCTATGTGGAACAGCCGCTGAGCAGCACAGAGGCAGCAGTGAAGCAGCTGCACCACAGCCTAGCACGGCGTAGGCTCTGGATGGGCAGCTGCACTAAACACTGCCTGGCAGCAGCAAGTGGGGGGAGGGGGACGCTTTCCTCCATGCTGAGCACCAGCTTCTGCCAAGCTGCTGCTGCTGCCGCCGCCATGGCTCATCCCCGACCGGCAAGCCCAGAGCTGGTGTAGGGCTCAGGCTAGGAGTGGTGGTGGGGAATGAGCTGGTACTCAGCATAGGAGAAAAGCGGCTACCCCTTCCCTGCCTCGTGGCCGGTGCTGCAGCCACTTAAAGCCCACATGGGGCTACCTGTTCCTGCTCTCCATTGCCACTGCTGCCCCGCGGAGCAGCGGAGAGGCAGGACAGCCCTGCGCAGGCTCTAGCCAGCTGCAGCAGGGACCACTGGCCATGGGGTGGGAGGGCAGTGTCACTTTTTCCCCACACTAAGCACCAGCTCATTTCCCACCAGTGGGCGCAGGGCATGCGGGGTTGGGGCTGCATGCAGCTCCCCCCACTGTACCACAGAACTGGGACAGGGGCACTGGGAGTAAGTGGGCGCACCAGTCAGCAGCAGCCAGGTGGGGGCATGAGGCCTGCGCTGGTGTCCCAGGGCTGGTGCCAGTGGGGCCTAAACCAAGGTGACAGGAGCGCAGGGTCCCAGCCAGCAGGGGCTCTATGGAGCTGGATCAGCTCCCCCCCTCTCCCTACTGGTGTATCCCAGCCCAGCTCCACACCCCTGCCAGCCCACACCCCATGCTCCTGCTGCCCTGCTCTGAGCCCTGTGGGCACTGGACCTGAGACATTGATGCAGGCCCCAGACTCCCACTCATTTCCACTCCACCCTGCCACTTTCCCCACTTTCCTGCCCCCACCACTCTGCACTACATGGCTCCCATACCCACACACACATCCACACAAACCCCTATATGCAATCACTTGTGCATATACACCACAAACGCCCACAAATCAGGACAAAAATATATTTTTTAATTCAATTAAAATGTATTATTATGGGCATTTGATTTTTACTATGCAATTTGTTTTTCTTTTCTTAAGATGGCAAACCCTCTTCCCCAAAGGAATACTTCCAGAGGCAAGGGGAGGGACTTCCAGTGGCAAAGGTCAGAGGTTAGGGGCGGGACTTTTTGTCCCCCAATGGTGGACTTTTGGTCCCACAATGGTGACCAGGGGCCAGGGCCCCTGCCAAGGGGCAGGGCTACCCATGCAGCCCTTGACAGCTTGCCAAAACTCAATAAGCAGCCCTCTGCCCAAAATAATTGCCTGCCCTTGGCCTAACCACTATACTACAGAAGTTCAGCGTCCCTTTCACTTCATCTCTTTCACCCTCATGACTCTTACATTTGTCTGCCCATTGGCCAAAGCTTTCCACGAGTGTTGGAGGGAATCCCCACCCAGGCTACTCTTTCAACTTGGTAGGTTGAGTGTCCTTGTGGGACAAAAACATAGAAAATTAGGGTTGGAAGGGACCTCAGGTCATTTAGTCCAACCCCCTACTCAAGGCAGGACCATCCCCAACTATAATATCGCAGCCAAGGCTTTGTCTAGCCAGGTCTTAAAAATCTCCAAGGATGGAGATGTCACAACTAGGGCTGTGTGAAATGGCACTGTTCCGTTTCAGCTGGAATTTGGACAGTTTGACGGAACAGCATTCCATTTTTAATTTAATTTCAATTCAAAACAGCTGTTTCGTTGCATCGAAACAGAAAGGCTGTTTCGACATTTCACTGGGGATGGGATGTCAGCCCAGTCGGGCTGACTCCCCATCCCCCATGCTAGATCAGGGGGCTGCCTCCCCACCCTGGGTGTGATCTAACACAGGGGATGGGAAGTCAGTCCAGCTGGACTGACTTCCCATCCCCAGTGCTAAGGTCTAAACGTTTTGACCAGCCTCGTTTTGTCTCAAGGCTATTTCAATGGCCTTTGTTTCATTTAGATTTTGCCGTTTCGACCTCAAAATGAGTCGAAATAAAACAGCTGTTGAAATTTCATGCAGCCTTAGTCACAACCTCCGTGGGTAACCTGTTCCAGTGCTTTACTATTCTCATGAGAAAGTTTTTGCTTATATCTAAACTAAAGGTCCCTTGGTGCAACTTGAGATAAAACGACTCAGGTTAAAGAATCTTAAAATCTTAAGTCTTACATTTCCTAGATAAGACTTTACCCCAGGAATGTGAAACCTACAACCCATGGAGTCATTTTATCAGGCCTATGAGTTGCTGTACCGGCTCCATGTACCAGCCCTGGCATGCTCTGCAGGCAGCACAGGGGGTCATGTCCAGGGCGCTACAGCCAGGCCGCACCCCATGCCCCTTGTGCCACATAGTGCTGAGTCCAGTGTTGGCCCTAGAGGCTTTGTGCACAGCAAGCCCCAGGGATGGCACATGCTGCACATGGCAGGTGTCATGACCCAAAAGGCATGATTGTGTGTGCGCTTCGGCACCAGAATTATCCCCGCTGAGTTGCAGAGCATTGCACGGGAGAGTTTCCTGTTGCAGAGGAAACTGGTGCAAGGACGTGTTTCCCGCCTTTTCTGCAGCTTCTTTTGCAGGGTGCATTGCTCATGTTGCAAGAGGAATGTACGGTGCAGAAGAGTTCCCACCACCAGTATGCAAATTCGTCCCCCATGATTGGCTAGTGCTAAATTATTCACACATGGCAGCTAATGATTGGCCTGTTAGCCGTATAAGAGGCTTGAGCAGTTTCCACCCAAGCCAAAGAGGACTCCACATCCATCTCGTGGGGACTCTGGGTACACGGCAGGGTAATAGAAACCCTGTGTGAGATCCAGAGGAGCCTGGCGGCCTGATCCACCGCCCACCTCTTCCCGTCTTTGAGCGCGACTTTTATAAGACGTATTTACGATTTCTATTTTGGTGGCTCGTTCACCCAGAGCATCCGGAGCTCTGCACCGTGGAGCCTAGCAACCTCCACGAGACCGTCTGTGTTGTCTGTCTGTAACTGCAACTCAATCAAGTTTTCCTGCCTACACCACTGCCATCTCGGTGTAAGTAAACAATCTTTAAAACTACCGATACGCGTTTGTGCCTAATTCCAGCTCGACGGCCTTCCCTCTCCGACCTGGCGTGCCCGGGCTGCTGGCCACAGCCCGCATGCAGCGCGGAAAAGGGCTCGGGTCGCTCCCGGCCCGCACAGCAGGCAGGGCTGGACTGCTGCAACTGTTACATACAACAAAGGGCCAGCACAGGGTGTATATCCCATGCAGTGCCCCACAGGACTCAGAGGTAGCATGCAGGGCTGGTCAGTGGGGTGCTGCATGGATCCAGCATGCACTGTCCCAGGACTTGCTGTGCATATGACCCCCCTGGGGCTAGCATAGGTACACACTGCCTGCAACATGCAGTCTGGACCCAATACTGCATGCAGCACAGGATCTGGGGCACAGGATGCATACAGCACCTCAGACTGAGCTGTACCCCCTCCCCCCCATGCTGCCTCAACATCAGGTCCAGCCCAGGTGCCATAGCCATTCTACAGGGTTGGTCCTGGTGCGGCCCACAGACTGACTCAAGGATGTTCATCTGGTCCATGGAACTGGGTACATTTGACACCCCAGCTTTAACCAGTAGGCTATCACAAAAAGGTTGGTACCCCCATCACACCTTCAAAATAGCAATCCTCCCTCTGAATAGGGTCCTGGATCTCATACACAGAGGTACCTAACATTAAGCTTTGACTTGGGTACTGAAACTCCAGAAAAGTGCAGAAATTCAAAACACCCTCCTGCACAAATACAGGATGCACTCTAGCTAAAGCATCCCAGACAAATACCCATCCAGCCTCTTCTTGAAAACTGTTGATGAAGATTCCACAGGTTCCCCAGTCACATTGCCCTACTATTCTTAGGAGTTAAGATTTTCTTTTTTCAAGATGTTAAATTAAATCTATTTTGCTGTAGCTTAAACTAATTTTCAAGCTTATCAACGTTGGAAGACCCAAACTAGAACTAAAATCCAAACTGGCCCTTCGTCAATCACATTAACAAACTGTGATAAAATGCCAGAAGGCTGAGAGGATCATGGTTTACAATAAGCTAATTGTGTCTTCACAAAAGAACCATTCCAAGTTGAACCAAAATACTGTTGCAATCTTAATAAAGTTCACTAAATTTTCAAATATTTTTTTCCTCTTTATTTAAACACAAATACATTTACAGCATGCAGGTAAGTTAAAACTATGTGGTGCCTTCCCAAAACCAACTAGGTTTGAATGCATCTTAATGTACTTGAGTTAAAGCACTGTATTCCACAGGTAGACTTGTCGTCTCATGTCAAATTTAGAGTTACACACAGTAGTGAGTCAGTATTTAAATTATGCAAATAATTTAGTTGATCACCAGGAATAAATATTTTATTTTACTGAATTCCTATCTAAGCCTTTTTAGAAAATATGATCCAGAGGAACATAAAAATAAGAACTGCTCAAAGACTGCAATTTAAAATAGCAATACATTTAACATTTCATTACAGACAGAATATTTTAAATTTACAAAATAGTAATTGTCCTGTCCAGATAACCTACCGGAGCTGAACCAGAAAGAACCAAATTGCAGCTTGAAAATTTTAAGATTCAGTTCTTGGTAAACTTTGTAAAGATTTAAAATAAAAAAAGCTTGGATATAAAAAAGGTGATATACATTTTGAGCTACATGCTAGTTAGTTTAACTGCTTAATACACAGCGATGTTCAGCACCAATACCCATGATACATTACTTACAGGAATGAAACTGCCATATACAGGCATGAAAAAAATATCCTGCTTCATCTGAGTATCTCCAAGGAAACTAGTTTTTACTCACTGCAAATTAATACAGGTGAAGGTCTGAAAATTTGCAGTTAATATTGTGAGAAATTCCAGACAAGGCTGTTTCCATTAAGAAAATTCCATTTAAAACCATCTATTTAACTACTAGTTCACCATCCACTTCCCTTGGCACATTGCCTCTCATGCTCCAGAAAGCTTACAATTTTGCAGTTTTTTGCTGTAATTTTTTTTAAGAATAAGGGTCTTTTAATGTTGAAAACCTGAAAGAATTAGGTTTTCTGGCAGTTATAAACAAAATCAGCTTTTGAAATGAAAATTAACGTAGCTAGTCAAGCTGCTGTGAATAAGAAGGAAATAGAAAAGGTAACTTAAAGTCCAAAAATTTTGACCATGCTCCATCATAATACAAACATTTCACTTCATATAAAAAGGTCTCAAAAATTATTTGCAAATCAATGTCTATGTAGGATTTAAGTTTCCACAAAGATGGACAACATCCCAAAAAGTAGTGAGACAACTGATTTAAGACATGGCATTAACTCTTGTATTCTTGAATTTTCACATTAGGTTTCTTCCAACACAATGATTTGGTAACTCATTTCTGTTCCAAGAACAACTTTTCTACAACTATAGTGGAAAACCCCCTCAGAATATCTTATCACTTGTGTAATTTAATTTCAAAAGCTTTGATCTTGATTTCAGCAGCAGATATGGGTGCTCAGAACTTGAGAAACAGCTCAGAACAAAAACATCTTTTATTTTGTAGCCAATTTACAGGACTTTATTGCAAAAAGAAGAAAATATTTGATACAACTACTGCTTGGGAGTAGGTATTTACGTATTCCTAGACTTACAAATGCATTACAATACAATTCAGTGTAGCACAGGTTCCTCCCTTCCACCCTTGGTCCTGACACAGCTCTGGGATTTCTGGCCATATGAGCTATAGTTTCCTTGCCTCCATTATTAGTGTATTTAATTAATTATCCAACTGCTCATTAACTCGTTTTCTCAAATTGAAAGCTTACATTTCAGGTCAAGATTTCCAATATGCACACAATAGTGGAAAAAGTTAAATTCTAGACTCATTTCACTATGTTAATATAGTGAAAATTAGCTATCAGAATTAGACAAATAGGTAATGAGCTCATCAGAATGAAGCAGAATGTTTTCACTCCAAATTATGCTGTGTACAGAATCAGGAACAGGACAGATGAAATTTTCCACTGACAGACTTTTTCTATGTAAATTTAGGTTTACTTTTGTTACTGTACAGTATTTAACTCAAAACAGCCTGATAAACAGGCAATTAATCAAACAGTTAAATAGCCTTGTTCAAACTGAACTCTTTAGTTCTATGGTTTCAAGATTTCAATGCCTTATGGCAGTTGTCATAAGCACACTTCAGTATTCCTACACTGTACAAATATTTCAGTTCTGATGCTCTATGCAGCATTTCAGGAAAACTTTAAGATAAGAGTGCTGTTATAACTCAGGGTGGGACAAGTAGTGTTATTACTTCATGTGGTAAAAATTAAAGTGTATTTCAACATTGTTCCACGTTGCCCTAAGACAGTAAAATGTACACAAATTAAGCTAGAAAATTTGAACTAAGATTTACTTAACATACATTCAGCTTGGCACAGTGCAGACTAAATTTAAGACATGAAAGACAAACAGTGTAATGAACAGAACTACACTTTAACATGTCATTTTTCAAGATGCCGAAATTGCACTCTAGTATTTTTGGGAATCAGTTAGCAGAATTTGTAGAAGGGAAGAGAGCTGTACAGGCCAGGTATAATTTATACAGTTAAAAAAAAAAATCCTACAATCCACAATGGGAGAGATTATTGTCATGGAATGACTCTCTCTGTATGATATCCCATCCTCTTCATGCTGCAGACTTCTCAGCAACTGCAAAGAAAAAGCTAAGTTAAATGAGTAAGCAGATATACATCCCTCAGTGACTTTCAAATGTCTAAAATTGCACACAGAAATAGTCAAAATAGTAACATGCAAAATATTTCTAAATTTCATTCTTGATCTAGGTCAAGAGGGCTATGGGTAGTTTGAAGGAGAACAAGTGTATAAGTCTTTTGGTAGAATCTGCAGACTTGGGAGCAATTTATGAGATTAACAATAAAATGAGTATTATTGGTCAAGAAAAAGAACACCAACCTCATTTGTTCATAGATCCACTTATCTGAGGTGCTATTATCTCAGTTATAGATGAAAAACAGCGCAAGTTAGGGACCAGTGCCTTAGTAGCAAGTTTTATGCAACCAGAGTCAATGGGATGTCATCTGCAAGTGTTATTGACTCTAAATGGAAATTATATTTTTAAACAAATTTAAAAGCTGTAAGTTGACTAGTTCACATGACATTCTCTCCTTAACCCATGACAGAGTTGCAGTAATTCACTGCTGTATTTTTTCTTTATTAAACAATAAATAGAACTGATCATTTTAAAGCTTCAAAAATGTGAACTGCTATATTCCTCAGGCAGACAAGCTAATGTATTTAATAAAATTCAGCCAAGCTAGGCCTCCTTGCTCAAAATTCCCCCAGGCCAACTGACATGTGGTTACCAAGGGTAAAAGCTCTCTCCTCCAGGTAAAATGTAAGCTCAAGGGGGACTGAGAACAATTTAGTGTCAACAGATACATTTCAGCAAAGGCAGGGATAATTTATAGTATTTATAGGAAAGATCCCCCTGAATCATCATGGTCTCTGGGAACTAATCAACTGCCAGGAGGCAGTAAATTGTCTGGGACTAATGCCCAAGTCCTGGAATAAAAATCACATAAGAATTGCCATTTACTGAGTCAGACCATAGGTCCATCTTGCCCAGTATCCTGTGTCATATACAATGGTGGAGTGGATGCTGAAAGGGACCATGAATTTGGTATGACTAGGGTTTTTTTCCACTGTTCCTCTCACTTGCAACCTCCAGGATTTAAGGCATAGGAAAATTCAGAGAGATTCAGAGGCTGTATCCTTAACTTCCATGCTCAATAGCAACTGATGCCCCTTTCCTCCAAGAATCTATCGAATCCCTTTTTTAATCTGGCTAAACCAGGGGCGGGAAATTATTTTGGGTAGAGGGCCGTTTACTGAGTTTTGGCAAGCCATCGAGGGCCACATGACAGGCAGCCCAGGGCAGATAAATGTTAATTTTCTAAATTTTTTAGGGGCCCCGCGGGCCACACAGAATGGCCTGGCGGGCCACATCCGGCCTCCGGGCCACATTTTGCCCACCCCTGGGCTAAACTGTCAGCTTCCACAACATCTGGAAGCAACAAGTTCTACACTAATTACATGCCGTGTGAAAAAAAAACTTCCTTTTGTTAGTTTTCAACTTATTATCTGCTAGCTTCTCATAATACAAGAACTACAGATTTACTATATTCTCTCATTTAGTGACCCCTGTTTACTTTCTTTTGCTTGTGGAGAGAAAGGGGAAAGAATATGATGGCAAAAGAGAAAGACATCCATACCTGCAACAACTGAAGTCAGTAAAAAAGGAAGCTTTGGAAGATTATGTGCTAGTTCCATTTTTCCTTAGTTATACGGTAACATCAGCTAATCTAGTCTTAAAAGTGAGAGAATTCCTGGGACAAAGTATCTGGGATTTAAGGCCCCACAGGGCTCTTTAGGAGCTCACACTATTCTTCAGTTTAAGACACAGATGGTCTTAATGCGGAAAACTAAATTACACAAATGAGAAACATTCAAAATGCAGCCGAGCAGACACGTGCAGTCTTCTTCACAAGGAAGGGACCAACTGTCATGCAGTTAATGAAGCAATAATGCGCTTTAAAAGTCCCAAGTCAATAAAGATATTTAAGCATATTAACCACTGCATTTGATTTAAATGAATGTACACATATGCTTAAAGATGCACATGTGCAGTTTTCATAGGCCCCTGGCAGATGTTACACTTAAGACGTGATTAACCAGTTAATCACATATGAAGTAGTAACCTAGCCATGTGTTCATTCAATTAAAGGGCACAATAAAACAGGTAATAGGTCACAAGACTTACTGCACCAAAAAAAAAAAAAGCGTGAGATAGCTTTGTGGCTGGTTCCCATTAAAGCCTTAAACTAATTAGTGTGGCCACCACCAATCAGGTAACTAGTGCAATATGGCTCCCCCTGCACTGGCAATACCCCCGATCTCACAATTGCATGCCCTGCCATTCACATGTGGCATGGCAGGAGGCATAAATGGTTGGGATTGCGAATCAGATTTCATCACACCTTTAGCTGAATGTTTGTCAGAGACCATAAATACACATACTACTTCAATTACTGAAGCATTTAATAGCATTTTAACTAGAATGGCTTTTAAAGTTATTAAATTATAGTGTGAAAAGATTTGTTTTCATGAAAGCTAAAACTTCCAATTCCCAAGCTATAATGCATGGGATTAGCAAAAGGTAGAAGAACAGCATATGAAAGAACCACCACTCTACATCAAATTGTATTTCTCCTTGGAGGAGGGACTCTCTATCAAATTTAAAAGCAGGTTACCAGTCACTGGGGAAAATAAAAGTAGTGAACAGTAGTGAATATTTTCATCTATTACATACTTGTTGCAGATTGCAGGCATTTTTTCTGTTGTTTCTGTACTGTGTTCATTTAGGAGTGATTCTTAGCCCCAACCTATATTTCATTACATAAAACTTTACTTCACTTGTGTAAAAGGAAGCACCAGTATGAGCTGCCTTCTTACATAGTGTATTCCTCCGAATTAAATAAAAAAAAAACTAAAACAGGAAGTAGCTGTAGAATATTCAAGTGGCTTTATTCAGCTGATTGGATTTTAAACATGAACTATAACACAAAGCTCCCAAAGGACACAGAAACAACTTATGGAAAGCAAGACTTACACTTTATCCTGCCGTGCTCCACCGCCACGCAGTGGGACTGGCTGACTGTTCTGAGTTATTGCACCTCCTCCACGAATTGCACTTGGATGAGTTGGAGAAGCTGCTGGATGCTGGCCAGGACGGATAGGCTTTGCTACAGAAAACAAAGCACAGCTTTAGGAAAATGCATGCCAAGCCATTTACCATTTAATCTTTTATTGCTCCAATTAATCAATCCTGTATGATGCCACTCTACAGTGAATGTTGTTATGGTCTGCAAGTTACCTGCTAAAATGAGAAATACGTTATTTTAGAAGTTCAGAAAAGCGGTGTTTGGGGGATTTTAACAACCAGGCTGTTAGGCTCAGATGCTTTATCTTTATGATGCACTGTATAAAAATAAAAAGGCAGTTTTTTGACTAACCTTTAGTTCTGAAGTTCACAAGGCTCTTGTTAACGAGTTAAAAAAATATTATAAATCAAAAACGCTCAGACAGGAAAGCATCTTGTAAAATTAACAAATACAGAACTGTGAAAAATCAAATTACTAACTGTTACACACTATGTATCTGTACACTCCAGCATTTTTAAGGCCATAACAGGTCAATTTGGTTTTTTTCCCACAAAATAAGCTACTCTGGTTTCTATTTCTGGCATACTTAAGAACTTCTTGAGTTACACAATTATAAAAGTTATTCTTTATCTCAAGGCAAATACACCAGCTTTTTGTCAGTGGCTATATATACACTTCATATCAGACTGGTACTAGATTTGGAAAAGACTCTACCTACTCAGATCTAACTTATAGAAAAACGTTTCTCAAAAACAAGCCCATGACATGTATATATGACTCTCCTTGTAGCAAGGGAGGTGGAGGGAGGGCAGTGCAGAAAGTAAAACCAAAGTGACTTTCACTGCTAACATTACCCTATGCATATGCTTACTGGAGAACTATGGGATGTCTAGTTTTCTGAAACTGAACGGAAATAGAAAGGAGGGAGTTTAAGTTTACTATGTTTAGATGAGCATTAGCTTCTCAGGAGGATTTTCTTGCCTTTTACAGAGTGTCACTTCTGAACAGATCAGGCTGTAGACATTTTCTAATGGATTATTGCCATGCCCCAAGATGAGTGGCAAAAGCCACTCATATCCCATCTTTTTACAAATTTGTCATCACAAGTGTGTAACAAATGTAGAATCGAAAGGCAAGATAGAGACGTTTTGAGTGTACTTACACGTGGCTGTACAGTGCCTTTGCTACTGCGCCATCATTTAGTACTTCCTTTTGTACTGTGCCGTGTCAGCCATGCACAGTTATTTTGGGCCACTACGTCACCATAGCAATGCACTATAGAGGGAGCGTGTTGCTACGGCAACATAGCAGTGGCATCACAGTTTTTGCCAATGGACACTACAGCGCAGTAGCATCCTGTGTAGACATGCCCTTCGTGTATGTTCCAATGTATTACTTTCTTCTATGAAACGTAAACCCTGCCCTTTATGGCTAATGTTTTTTGCAGGCAAGGCTTTCCATCATGTGAAAAATTAAGTACCCCATCACAAATAGATTAGATTAACCATCGTTTATATTAAAAGCTACAAATATAATTAAAATCAGAACAGGTTCTCTATCAAGGTACAGACCCTACCATGTTTTCACAAGTTTCAATTTGTACTATTACTAGCAGGGGCGCCAGCAATTCCTGTACTAGAAATAAAATTTATGCCCACATTATCCTAAGAATGGAAGGGGGAGTGGGGGAGAAGGGAGCAGCCAAAATTTTTTAGCAAGTCCTGGATTCTCTTTACTTACCAATCTGGGCAGAATGTCCTCTTCTAGCCATGTTCTTAGATCTCACTGCTTCTTTAATGCGGTCTACCTCTTGCTGATATCGCTTACGATCACGAGATGCATTTTCTTTGGCTTCCTTCAGTGCCGACTCCAAAGCTTTAACTCTCTCAGCTGTAGCTCTAAGTCGTTTCTCCAGTTTAGGAAGCTCGCAGCGAAGATCTGCATTATCACGTACCAGCTAAGAATATGCAAGATATATTATTTTACTCTGAAAAAGCAAGTTACTTTCACCCTGCTGCAGTGTAACCCTAAAAGAAAGGACAATAACTTTGATCCAACTTTTATTTTATAAACTTATTTGGTTTAAAGTATTTCAGTAATAAAATCCCTTTTCAAAAACTACTCACTACAAATATCACGTAAGTCTAAATTACTCTTAAAGACTTTCACAGGACTATATTAAATGTACCTATTTATTTTATATTAAAAATTGGAGTTAAGCATCCAAGAGAAGTGATGATCCCTTACTTGCATGAACTATTCCCAATACAAATAAAACAAACAACCATTATGCTTTTGTGATGCATCTTGAATAAGCAAGTATTCTTTAGGAGTTAACTACCTTTAGTCAAGTCTTACTGTACCTGTTTGTGGACTTTTGTGAGCTGCTCAAGATTATTCTCGAGGAAGGAAATTTTCTGTTTTTGTGCAGCACTGCCTCCCGTTTCATCTGAGTCCATCTCTGCGCTCTACAGTGATAAGAAAATAAAATAATAATATATGGAAGTCCGATTTCTAATCAACACCTGAACCATTAAAGCTATATTAAGTGCTTCATTTATTTCTACTTTTAAATGCATGCAATGTATGTTCACAAAAGGAATAAGCCTTAGTAGCATCAGTTACCTTTTTAACTCTGGTAGCCAGATCTTGAACAAAGAGCTTCCGAAGGTTGTGCAGAGTTTGAAGTTCTTTAGCCTAAAAATGAACAAATAAGTAAGTTCTCATGGTTCCGAGTTCTTAACCTGAATAAAGAGGTTAACTGGCATTTGCTTGTGAACATACTATACTTACCACAGTTTCTTCCAAACCCTTCAGATCTTGCCTTGCTTGTTCTCGTCTGTCCTGCATAACCCTAAAAGTCAAAGACAAATATACACCTGAATCACTGATGTTTGTCTAGAACAAAACCCACAAGCCTTAAAATAAATATATTTAAGAGGCTCAAGGGAAAAGAGGTGCAATGAATCATCATGCTAGTTTACCTTTAAAAAAAGTTAGAATTCTACTTCAGATCAAGTGGAAAGGTTACAGTGGCTGTTCTCTTAGGTTCCTAATAGAAAGTGACCATATGGAACAAATGGCAATGCAGTCAAAACGAGGGGGCCACGAATGGAATACCAAGGATATTGCCCAGAATACAATTTTGTATAGAGTTAAGTCCTTTAAAGATGAACCAATTCAGTCATCTGAATAGGTCCCGGATCAATGCTTGAAAAAGAGAAAAAAAAGCCACTTGTTTTTCAAATATTACAAGGCTTGTGAAGTTGAGGGCACACCAGAAGGAAATGGAAAACAAAAGAAAGAAAAAACCAAACCCTGGAGAGTGTCAGAGGAAGTAAAGGGACAATAGAGGCTTATTCCAAATGAAAAATTGATTTTCAATGTTGTGCAAGTATTCATTAACTTGTATGCAAACCAAGCAAAGTATTTTCCACTAAACTTCAACCATATTGCAGTGACCCGTCTGTTTACAGCTCTTTCTTATGTAATGCAAGAAGTATTAAATATGCTGCTGAAGCCCTAATGTTTAATCTCTCAAATTATGTAGGACTGCAACTACAGAGATCAGAAAGAACCTAAAAACTTTATTATGACCAAGGATATCAAGAAGATTCTACAGACAGAGTAAGAAAAAAGTGAGAAATCGGCACTTTTATTAGGGAGGGAAAAGTAAAGGTTTGGAAGAGTTTGCATCTTTATGAAAATCCCCCTGCAGCCTTCTAAAGGAACTGGCTAAACTACTCAAATGATTCCACTATTAAGTCACCACTGCTATTAGAATAATTTCTTCTAATTCCCACCTGTGTTTATGGCGTCACAAAAATGGACATACAGCAGAGGTGTATTATTTTTGTTTAAAGTTTTGAATTGTTGCAGTTTTATACTTCTAGCTTTAAGCACTGACTTTGGTCTAGGAAAACATCATGCATGCAGACCAGCATAGTTTATGCAATAAAATTCATTTCAATAACTTGCATAACACTAAGTCACCCAATTCTGACATTTTTAATTCATCTCCCTGCTGCCCTCAACTTCAGTTTCAATCAAGCAGAAACTGCTAGATTAATGCTTCATATATAAAACTTAGCTTCCAAACTTCCTATGTAACACAGGAGTTTAACCTGAAAAGTTCAAGATGGTATAAGGAAAAACTGTTGCAATTAAAGCCACGAGCAGACAAAAAATGAAAAAAAGTCTGAAAGAGAAATTTATGGACCAAAAAAAATATACAATAAAATTCTGATTTACCAGGACTTAAATATTTCACATCACTATAACACTATGGTTTCCACTAGCAGAACTTTTAAGAACACGTGTTGATTTAGGACATTATTTACTGGATCTCAGGGAAACCTTTGGCTGACATTGTTCTTGCAAGATTTTGTTTTGCATTAGTCAATAACTAATTGGCAGACCTCAGAACTTGGACTAACATAACTTCCCTAAGGTTTCAAAATTTTAGGCATATGGAGTTTTACAAGTTTTCAGGAACAATGAACCCTTTTAGGTTTCTTCATTATGGAAAATTATAATAATAATAGATCAAAATAGGATACCTTTAACTGGAACTCATTTAAATCAGGCTGTCAATAAAACAATGCCTTGAATGCTCTGTAATCCTTCCCAACAGAAATCTGGTAAAAATCTAGAAGATGCCTTCTGGCCCTAAACCCAGGTAAATCAATTAATTCTTGTTCAAAGTCTTAAAAGACATTCACTAAGCTACTTCTGCCTAAACCAGTTTTAAGATCCCTGCCCTCCACCAATTTCATACAAGCCACCAATTCAATTAAAGAGTTTGTTTAGATTTCTAATGAAGTTTATACAAGGTTCAGATCTTATACATACTGGAAAACCATGACTTTCACCATTTAAAACTACAAATTACTACAGTTGCTCTGTATAGAGAAAATAACTCTCTCTACACCTTAAAGACAATAAAAGAAAATTCTAATATAGAATCAAGACTTAGTCTGATTTTTATTCTTCCAGCATTGTCTTTATCACTAATATTAAGTAGACCAGACAATCAAACCAACTCATCAGATAACTAATATATGGCAGAAAAGGAACAGTTTTTTGTTTTTTTAAGACTGTTTAAGAACAGTTAGAGGGAAAGCCAGTTTCCATACCACTTCAGGTCAACATCAGGATTCCAAATGTCCTTCCCACTATGCATTTTCATGCCTTAAACATGGATTAGGACAGGGGTTGTCAACCGGAGGCACGCGTACCCCTGGGAGTACTTGGACTAGTCCTAGGGGGTATGTATGGGTGGGCAGGGATGGAGTGAGGCCACCTCCCAGGAGCAGGTCTGGGGTGGCGTGAGGGCAGCGGTACCCCTCCGAGGGGCAGGGAAGCTCGCATGCAGTGGCTGCCACCACACATCAGCTTGGTGAGCTTCGCCACCCCACAGAGGGGCACCACTGCCCTCACCCCAGCCCGGTGAGCTTCCACTCCCCACCCCAACCTGGCCCTGCTCTTGGGAGGCAGCGGTGCTCTGTCCCCACCTCCCTGCTCCATGTCCGGCACGCTAACCTCCCCTCCCCGCTCAGCCGCGCACTCCCCACTTCCCCTGCTCGGCATCCAGCCGTGGGGGGTACTTAAACTAACAAAAGGTTGAAAACCCTCGGATTAGGAACTTACGTAAGTTCATGAAGTTTCCTGCTTTTTTCTTGATCTGTAGTTTTCAGCTTCTCGTGTTCAACTCTTAGACGTTCCTGCTCAAGCATCATCTTCTGATTTTGGCTGAACATGAAACAGTCACGATCAACATGCAAATATGTCGATGAGAATCCTCAAAGACATCAAGTCTGAGTCTTTATTACTCTGAAGCACATTTATTAAAACTAATCTATGGTGCACAAATGACTAAGGAGTAAATGGTACAAAAGGAGTCTTGTTAAACTGTCTGCCTTAAACCTTTTTTTTTTTTTTTTTAAATCAGAAATAGCAGCAACTGACTGACTGTTATGCTGGTTTTGAGTATTTACCAGATATGACCCCAAAACCATAAAATCACATTCAATATGTGCAGTGCTGGAAAGGAGTCCCCTGCTCCCAATTCCGCTGCCCCATAACAATACAAATCCCTAGTATGTTATCTTACTTTTATTAGCCCAAGGGTCTTTGCCAAATGCTAAATATTTGTTTTTTCTTAAATCACCCTTGGGCAAACCATAAATCTGAGTACCAGACTACTGAAAGAGGGATGACACTCGCTTTGCTTAATTTTGAGTAAAATACTGAAGACAGTGAACTGTTCTACTCACTGCTACAAAAGGGTCAACGACTTGACTTCAGAACTATAAATATATTCAAGTCCTAATCAAATAAATGAACCCAAATAAATATTTAAGTAGTTTAGGAATTTGTTAGGCATGTAGTTTAACTGTTTTCCTCAAAAGTCTAATATTTTAAAAGTAAAAGTGATGTCCAACTTTTATCATCATAATTCTTACTCTTGGAGTTCAGTAATAAGTTTCTCCTTTGCATCAACCTCATCTCGCAGGCTGCTAATTTGTTTCTGGTGGGTCTCACGGTGGCTCTGAATCTGCTGCTCAACTGCTTGCTATAAAACAACAACAAATTTAGTTTGGTACTTAAAATATTAAGTTTTATGTAAACTAAAGAAGAACAAAAAAAATAGCTAACTTGCCTTGACTTCATTTGCAGTTTGGACTTTATTTAAGTGCTCCTTCTCCATTTCATGAACTTTTTCTACCAAAAAAAAAAAAAAAGTTTTCAGCTCGGGTATTTAGGTAGTCATAGGGAGGACCAAGATAAAAAATATTTTTCCCTCCCCAATATTTTAAAAATTGAAATATGCAAATTTATTAATAGCTTTTCATATTTAAAATCAATTAAATTACAGTGTTATGTTTTGAAGAACTCTTTCAAATGATGCGTCTCCATATGCACTGAATCTTATTGATGAGGTACTTGCACTTAGAAACACACACTAAGTTATACATATTATTCTGTCACTTTATCCAGAGAGGAAAAACACCAACACCATATTTTCTCCAATACCAATTGCACCATGCTTCCTAGTAATCGTTATATTTAAAGGAAAATCCATACCCTGTGCTCGAAGCTGGACTAGTTCTTCATTAAGGGAATCTACAGATTCTTCCAGTTGCCTCTTTTTCTGTTCCACATTCTGAAGATACTCTGTTAGTGACTTGATCTTTGCTTCATGCTTTCAGAATGAACAGATATTTATTTATATGTAAACTAGGTATAGTCAAATGAAGTTGCATGAAAAGTTTAAGAGCTTTTGGCATATTTAAAAAGGGCAAATAAAACTTCCCAACAAAACGCAGTCAACTTCATATTTCTAAAACAAGTCTTATCTTTGCAAATAGATTGTGTGTGTTGCAGTATCTAGGGTCATAATCCACGTATTGCATTTAAGTAAATATCATCATCACACTCATATCTTGTGGCTCCCACAAATACAGTAATGGGACAAGGAAGGTAGTTGTCCATTTTTTTCTTTTACTCTTATTAAAGATTCCACAAATAAAATTACAAGTCCTAGAGCAGAGCTAAAAATCATATTGGTGATCAATAGGAATAGGGGAGCAAAGGTTTGATCACATGAGTTTGGAAAGATAAAAAAGCATGTTAGAAAACTTTAACAACATTCATATTAAACTAGCCTTTGATCTATTAGAATAATGTTTCAATTTGCTCAATTCTATTGTGATAATTTTATGTTGTGTCTACTTCCTGACATTTCCCTCTCCCTTTTCAAATTTGCCTCAAGAGGGCAGAGTGCTTCTGATGAAGCCACTGCTTCTGCACATTAAAAGAAGTGTGTAACCTCCCCCCACAGAGCTGAAAGAAAGTCAATATGTCCCCTATAACATTGAAACTAATGTTTTATATTTTATAAATGTTAAATATAGAGGAAACAGATTTTTAGGCTAAAAAAAAAAAAAAAAAAAAACTTCTCTCAACATTGAGAGATCCTAAACTAATCAACTGCGCTTACTGCAACAACATTAAGTTCAAGATCTACAATCTTCTTGGTTCCCTTGGTTATATTAGGAGTAATATCTTTAAAAAAAGGGATCTAAACACTTTTGTGCAATACCTGCGTTCAAAACGGAGACTGATGAATTCAAAAATTAAGCATTCATCTGAACAAATGTCCGACTTCCTACTTATTCTAAAGGCCTCTGAACTACTAGTTTTAAAACTGTAAGCTATAGATTAACTTATCTACAGATCTGTAAGAAGACAACCAAATAATGCAGGAATCCAATATAAAAAAAAAGGAGCTACACTACCATATTACCTGTGAGATACGAAGCTGACAAGCAGCCAGCTCTTTTTCATTTTCCTCCATTTTTTTGTTGCTTTCAGTTTGCGTGCTTTCTAGTTGTTTGCACCGCTTTACCATTGTTTTCACTTCTGATTTCATTTTGCTAATGTATAGTCTTGCCACTGTGAATTCCTCATCTATCATACCAGTTCCTTCAGGTTGCTGAAAGGAAAGTTTGGATAAAAATATTAAATTCTATGAAGACTTCATTAAAAGCAGAGTGTATCAGCCAGAAAACAGTGCCCAACATGCAACAACCATTAGGTGGCTAGCTTCAGACTATGTTTAAATTATTACATTTTTTTAATCTTTTGGTACTTTTCAACCAAATTCAGACCAGAAAACAACTTCTGATGCTGTTTCCCTTGGTAGATCAAAACATTTATATTTTCCGTAATACTTACTTGATGGACAGGAAGTAAGTCTGCTTGCCAGTGTGGACTCTCTCCATAGAGATAATGACTTTGTGTTTTTAATAAATAGTATATTTAAACAAGCAATCCTTGCCAAAAAAAAGCCAAACTCAATTAATAAAAATGCTTCTCTGAAGCACTTCTAACTTGTTTGACCTTCTCCCATAACCAAAAACATGGCAAATGACTAGCTGTATAGCCAGGCTAGTTATAAAGCATCTTTACTATGCTGAAAACACAAACAATAAAGCACTTCATAATAGCTACAGAGCATATGAATTTATCATGTTAGTATATTTGGGATATATATGTTCCCTACCTTCACATCATTATTTCCAACTGCAATTCCTATTTCTGCAAGATCTTTCAGTAATGAGGCCATCATCTCCGTTGCTCGTTTTTTCTGGTGGTTGGTCATTTCTTTTAGTTTCTGTAGCTCTGCATCTATACTGGCTAAAGTTACCTAAACAAAGGAAATATCTAAAATTAGATTTTACCAATTTACATAGGAATATTTTTCTCATTTTCTTTGAGAAACCTCAAAACATGCTTACCAGTTATCTTAAAACAATTACCAGACTACAAGCCATGGTTTAACAACAATATTAAAAAGCCAACAACACCCGTTTTTGCTGGTTATAAAAAGGATCTAGAGAAGTAGGAAGATGCAAGTATACTTTCCCCTATTACACTTTTAAAAAAATATTTGTAAAAACTGGTTACTATATTTTGTATTTAATTTTGTACCTTAGTGATTCTAAGGCTCCAAAAGAAGATTAATATATTACACCCAAGGATTTCTACTAGGATGCTGCTATCTTGATTCACAGTCACAATATAACTATTTAAGGCCTACTCAAGTCTTCTATATCTGATAGGGCTGTGCAAAATTTTGCCGAGTATTTTGTTTTGAAGCTGTTTCGAGGTGTTTCGAGCTCGAAACAGCGAACTTGAAACAAAACAAAAGTCTTTGAAACGGCTTTGAAATGAAATGAGGGCACTCAAAACGTTTAAAGTTTCAAAGTAGCCCAGTGGAGGCGAGGCGGGAGAGAGCCAGGGCTGCACTCCGCCTCCCGCTACTGGGCCGAGCTCTGTGGGGCTGGCGGAGCCAGTCAGAGCACAGCCCTGGCTCTCCCCCACTCCAACCAGCTCCACGGAGCTGAGCCTGGTGGCAGGAGGCGGGAGAGAGCCACTGGCCAGGGCTGTGCTCCGAGAGGCTCCACCAGTGACTCTCCTACCACCAGGCTGAGCTCCATGGGGCTGGCAGAGCCGGTCAGAGTGCAGCCTGGCAGCGGGAAGCAAGGAGAGCCAGGGCTGCGCTCCGAGCGTCTCCGCCAGCCCCATGGAGGTCAACCTAACCCCCCAGGGCTGCCGGACTCTGCCCAGGTGCACAGGCCCCCAGATCTGCATGCACGATGACAGGAGGCTGCCGCTGCTGCCTGGAGTCAGCGGCAGCAGTCTTCCTGGCACTGGGCATGGGCTGCACTCAGCGCCGGTCCCAGGTGACAGCAGCAGCCTCCCGTCATCCCAAGCGCACATCCAGGGGCCCGCACCCCCGGGAGGCATCCAACACAGCCCCACAACCCTCCTGGGAGTGCAGGCCCCCAAATCTGCACACGGGATGACAGGAGGCTGCCGCTGCTGGCAAGTGACACAAAAGTTTTGCTTGTCAGCACCTTGAGGTAAAGTTTCCAAGAAACCCTTGCACCTATCTCCTTGAAAATTGGCAGGCTTCATGCCCTTAGAAGGGACTACCATCCCTGCAAATTTCATCCAAATCAGGGAAGAAATGACAAAGTTGAAGGCATTTTCAAAATTCCCCATTATAATCTATGGGTGAAACATTGAAATGTGTCAAATCAGTGAAACAGTTTTGACTAAACGAAATGGAACAGTGCTTCAAAACTAAATGAAATGAAGAAACAAAAGCACAGAAACGGCGAAACGGAAGTCATAGATTCATAGACGCTAGGACTGAAAGGGACCTCAAAAGACCAAGTCCGACCCACTGCCTAGGCAGGAAGGAGTGCTGGGGTCAGATAACCCCAGCCAGATCCCTATCCAAACTTCTCTTAAAGACCCCCAAGGTAGGGGAGAGCACCACCTCCCTTAGAAGCCAATTCCAAGTTTTGGCCACCCTTACCATGAAGAAGTTTTTCCTGCTATCTAGCTTAAATCTGCTCTGTCAGTTTGTGACACTGTTCCTTGTTACCCCAAGAAGCACCCTGGTGAACAGAGCATCTCCAATCCCCCTAATGAATTTGTAGGCAGCCATGAGATCACCCCTTATCCTTCTCTTGCAGAGGCTAAAAAGGTCCAGGTCCCTCAGTCTCTCCTCATAGGGCTTGTCCTGTAAGACCTAATCATACGAGTGGCCCTCCTCTGGACCTTCGAGTCTATCAACATCCTTCCTGAAGTATGGCACCAAAACTGGATGCAGTACTCCAACTGCGGTCTGACCAATACCGCATAGAGGGGAAATATCACCTCCTTGGATCCATTTGTCACGCATCTGCTGACGCACAATAAAGTGCAGTTAGCTTTGCTGATCATTTCATCACACTGACAACTCAAGTTCATCTTGCAGTCCACTATGACTCAGAGATCCCTTTCCATTGCTGTGCTCCTGAGAGGATCACTTCCCAGCCAGTAGATGTGCTGGATATTTTTGCACCCTAGGTGTAGCACTCTGCACTTGGTCTTGTTGTACTGCATCCTATTGTGTACTGCCCACTTTTCTAACCTGTCCAGGTCTGCCTGCAATCGTTCCCTACCCTCCGGTGTGTGCACTTCACCCCACAATTTAGTATTATCCACCAACTTGGACAAAGTACACTTCACACCCACATCCAAATCACTGATGAAGATATTGAAGAGTACAGGTCCAAGGACTGAACCCTGTGGGACCCCACTACCCACATCCTTCCAGGTTGATACCGACCTGTCTACTACCACGCTCTGGGTACGACCACCAAGCCAATTTGCCACCCACCAGACCATGTAAACATCTATGTCACGGCCTCCTAATTTATTTATGAGAACAGGATGAGATACCGCATTGAAGGCTTTGCTAAAGTCCAAGAAAACAACATCCACCTCCACTCATGCATCTGAGCATTTTGTGACCATCATAAAACAAAACCAGATTGGTCAGGCATGATCTACCTGCTACAAATGCATGCTGGTTTCCCTGCTGCATTATTTTTCCCACTGGACTTCCACAAATACAATCCTTCATAATCTTTTCAAAGACCTTTCCAAGGACGGAGGTGAGACTGACTGGCATATAAGTTACTTGGATCCTCCTTCCTCCCCTTTTTGAAAATAGGGACCACATTGGCCCTTTTCCAGTCCTCTGGGACTGGACCCGAGTGCCACAAATGAAACAATGCTGTTTCACACAGCCCTGATATCTGACAAGCAGCCAAAGAACATACTAATGCCATGAGTATAAAGGGCAAAAAGACAGAATTAGTATATCTACAACTCCAAAGGAAAGTTTCTCCAGTAAACAGACCTCTTCTAAGAGAAGAGGCAAGATTTTAACAATAATTGTTTCCAAAGACACTAAAGTGCAAGGTTGTGTGTATAAGATAGTCCCAGGAATTAAAAAAAGAGGGAAAAAAGAGTAAATCTTCACTTCTGCTCAGTGTCACAGAAAATGCATGCTTGGAGGGCTTCTTCCTAATACAACTGAAGTAGAAAGTCTGGTGGAATCAATCTTGTATTTATTCAATATAATCAAGAGTAAGAGGATCAAGTCCCTCCAAGGACCCTTAATTAGTTTCTTCCAAGGAGAGGAGAGTGGGAGGCAGATGTTATTTTCTTTTGAACAAATTTTTATTATTCTAAAACAAGGTGAACCACCTCTGGCTTCCACTAGAAAAGATGCTGAGTGCTATAGAGAGATTTAAGAATCAAAAGGCATAGTCTACTTCTTAGCTGTTGCTTTACTATTGCCCATTTTATAGCTAGAGGCAAGCTGGTAATAGATAAACATACCACCATCTAAGATAATCTATTTCTTCTATTAAGAGGTTTACTACCAGCAGTCAAGTCTTTTACCTTACAGCAGGTATTTTTAAGGCCCTGGTGCTTGAGGATACATACTCTTGAATACTTACCACAATCACCTGAGCCATCATATAAATGGTAGTTAGAAACAAATGCATCATCAAGGGAATCTTGCTTCTGATGAGTGGCCTGGTCCACACCGTAACATATTAACCATGGTCACTCTTTTATACAAAAAACAACAACAACCTGCAACTTCTCTCAGTCTACGCTGATATTTTAGATAGGAAGACAGATGAGACCCACTCCAATCAATAGGAGTGGGCATTTAAAAAGTGAGGGGCAGAGCCACAAAGATATTCAACATTGCTGGCTCTCAGCCCTGAATTAGAGTGCATCTCAGCACTTTATCAGAGAGACTACCAGCCTCAGAGAGTAGCAGAAAAGGAAGCCTTTGCCATTCCAAACAAAATACTTTCTGTAACAGAGAGGCCTGTCACATTTTACCAATTACTTCTGAATATAGCACATGGGTCCTTCCTTTGGGAAGGGTCTCCATTCTTGGTATCTTTATCAAAGCCCTTGCAACTCTGAGATAATATCCAACTCTAAGGGTGTGGAATAAACTACCTTTGAAATAAACCAGAGAAATGAAGGATCATCTTGTGGGGCATTAGTAGTTCTTGTCCAACTCAATATACATTGAATTCCCTAGCAGCCTTTACACACGCGCACACACACACACACACACACACAATACCAATCTTAGCAGTAAATACAAAGCTACATACTACTGAAGAAGCAAAAGCAAAATGAATTCTAAGAAAGTCTTTAAAAACTGAATCAACCTCAGGAAAAGGTATATTAGCCAGAGACCAAAGCATGAAAGGGGAGTTTGGTTTGTTTGCTCAAAAATCCAACACTGAAGAACAGGAGAACTTCCAATGACTTTCAAATGACAGAAAAGAAGGGCAGCATCTTTTTATTTCTATCAACACACTTTGAAGGCTGCTCCATTTGAGCTGTTATATCTGCCACCAGTAGATGACAAAATTGTACTGAATTAGAAAGGGAGAAGTTTACCGTGGATTAGCATGGGGGTTTCAAACTCGTCCAGCCCTGCAGGCTGAATGAGTGTCACTGGGCCAGTCTGCGAACTGGACCACACTGACACCGTCTCTGTGCATGTTGCCCCCAGGGCATTTGCTATCCAAAACACGTGGGCTAGACCCAGCAGTGCAGGCAGCTCAATGGGGTCAGTTCAGGGCACTGTATACAGCCCATGCCCTGGAGTCCTCATGCTGCCAGGTCCTGCCCATGTGCCATGAGGAGTACACACCATGCACTGGCCCCAAGGGCCACCTGGCCCCAGTGTTGGCTGTGCATTACAGGCTGTACATGGCTGGCCCCAGTGCTGCATATGGCATAGATCTGGGGTGCAGCCTGCATGCAGCCCCATGCCAGTCCCCCCCCATACTGTGCGCAGTGCATGTGCTCAGTCAGGCCCTGTGTAGCATGCACTGGCCTCAAGGTTCACTAAGCATGCAGCCTGGACCTAACACTGCATGTGCCATAGGGGATCCAAGGCGCAGGCTGCATTGCAGCATTCTGTGCTGGTCCTCTGTGCTGGATGCAGCACACATGGCACTGGGTTCAGCCTGGGAAGCACATGCAGTGCATGGGGCAGTGGCCAGCATATGGGGTCCAGTTCCCATAGGCCAGATAAGGTCAGCAGGCCATATTGTTTGACACTTCTGGATTAGTTTATCTACAATAAACTGTTCCACGTGCCCACTGTAACTCTAATTATTATGAGAACTTGCAGCAATATAACAATTGCTTTATTCATGAGTCAACTACCCAAGTTTAGCTTCCACTTATGGGAGAGTGGACACATGATTACCATAGTTCTGCTGATATGTGGCGAGCCCTTTCCCCCATTCCCAGTCTTTCAACAAGGGATAATGTGTTAATTTGCCCATATCAGCAAATGGGTCTCCAAGACCTCAAGATGAGAAAGGCAGACTTCACTTAAAAAAAAACAAAAAAAAAACCAAACAATCATACTGTTACTACTACTAACTTTATATAGGCAATTCAGATTTAACCTGATTTGGGGGAACTGACACCTAGCACTTAACTGTCTGAACATGGTGATCTGTCTAATCTGTCTGCCTCCTGCAACAGTGACAGGATTAAGTCAATTAACTACTGATTATTCAAAAAGGCACCTCCAGCCAGACTCCAAAAGGAAAGAAAACAAACAAACAAACAAAGATATGGATGACTGATGACCTAGAAAATGCTATTTTCTGGGTCTTTTCAAATGGAATGGAGGAAGCTTCATGTTTTATATGCCAACATTTGACTCAAATAATCAAATCAGAATGCTAAATTTTGAACTAGAAAGAGTGCAAGATTCATATTAGAGCTTTTCTATTTTCTGCAACTGAGCTTAAAAGTAAGAAAGCAGTTGGAAAAACAGACATGTTTTCTAGCACAAAGAAAAAGCAGACATTTGTAAATCCCAGCTCCAATTCCCTACCGATTTCTGATTGAGTTCATCACTAAGCAGCTCATATTCTTTTGCTTTGTCTTCTACTTCCTGAGATTTCTGATCATAATTGACAGCAAGTTCTTCAAGGGCTTGTAGCACTTCTTTCACTTCCTCTTTAGAGGCATCATTTTCAGCCTGGAGACGATTCAACTCAGCTTGCATATTATCTTGGTCCCGTCTGGTAGATGCAAGAAGCTATGACATTGATAAAAATTTAAACACAGATCACTGCTTCAACAAAATTGAGAGAACTGCAAGTGAGACTCCAAACTTACCAAAAGAAGTTTCTTTTAGAAAATAAACCTAGACTTAGGATTTGCACTTTATCTGCACTGTTTAAATAGCAGTCATTGTATTCAAGTATAAACAGGATTCTAACCAACAGGTGTTTAAACTATTTGTCAGTAACAAGGACAAGACTCCTAGCTGTATTTTTATATCCAATATCACTGAAGAAACAAGGTATTTTATTTAACTGTTACAAAAAGATTTGATGAACAAGCAGCTGAAGTTCACAACAGGTATTTCCAATTACTTCTTTTTTTAAACAAAGCTTCTAAACCATTAGCGCTATTTGCATTTTTCAAAAGTGACTTCACTGGGTCCTAGAACTTCATCCCCAAGTATTTTAATATTTTAGTTGCTAAGTGGGTATGCCCAAGGAAAATGGAGTTTTTTTCAAAATAATACTGAAGCGCTCAACCATTTTCTAAGCACATGGTCAACGGCATCTTACACAGAGACATGCATAAAAGGAAACAAATCAATTTTATTCTCTAGGAGAGCTGGACAAGGTTGCCAATATGCTCTTCTCTCTGCTGTCTGAATATAAAATTAAGGAATAATTTAGTAATTGAATGAGGTAAGATTGCAAAACATACTGCAAAAAGCTTTTGCATGCAGACAGCAATATTAATCTATATTTATCCTACTTACAAATCTGTCAAAATGAAGATATTAGAAAAGCTTTCATTTCTATAACAAATTTACTCTGTCAGAACTGAATGGAGAAGTACGTTACTTCATAAAAGGAGACCTTTTCTGCAATACTTTAGACTGAGCATTCTAGCAAGCTTAGATCATGCAGGTGTCCCCTCTCCTTAGGTACCATAAACTTAATGCACTGGAAGACTGAAAAAAAACTAATCGAAATAAGAGTGCTTAAGATCAAACGAACAAACTAAACATTTATTATACCATCCTGTGCTCCTTTAGGAAAAGGAAGGCATGTCAAGTGGGGAGCACTGAGAAATTGAGAAGTTAGCTTTTGACTATAAACAGTAAAAAGGCCTGTGATACAATAAGCAGCAAAATTTGCTCATAGAAACATCATCCTGAGAAGTAAATTATGTTTAACATCCCTAAATTTTAGTACCAAATAAAAAGTCCAACATGAAGATATGCAGTAACGAAATTTACCTCTTCCTGATCCAACATTTGTGTCTTCAGCTTCTCTACTAACTGGCTCTGCTGATTAATTTCTTCATCCTGTAGTTCAAAATCACAGTCCAGTCAACACATGTTGAATTGAACATCATACAGAATTTCAAAAGTATGTTAGGAATCAGTTATTTAAAGTTTCCTGTTCAGTAACAATCAAATAAAGAATCAGTGATCCAACTAATCAATTGTGCATGTGATTTTTCATGTTAGGCTTCTAGCTTTGTGTGTTTGTAGAACATTACACAGGACCCAAAAGAAAAATCCTGTTTTGATGTACCGTGTTTGGAATTTGAAGAGCTTGGGGGGGGGGGGAATCATCTTCCTCAACTCCCAACTACACTATTTGGGATAGAAATTATTTTTTCCAAGACAGTTTTAGTACTGTTGTTTAAAGTTAAATCAAACGGCATATTTAAATTGTAAGTATGTGTGCGTGCGCATGCACACATTCAAAGTTATACAAAATATGTATATCATTTACCTTCTCCCAGAGAGATTATTCAAAGCATCAATTTAATTTTGTTGATACACTTTACTTATTCCACCCCCCCGCACATAATACAGTACTGACTCCAAAGCAAATAGGAACATTTTAATTCCTGGAAGAATATTCAACACTCTACTAAATTCCCTCTACTTTCCTTATATTGGCATTTTTGTTGTTGTTGTTGTTTTAACTTACTCCCCAGGCTGTACTCTGTTTTATTGTTTTGTTCATTCATGCAACCCTAAGTCCCTGCTGAAATTGCCAAGAACAGCAATTAGTCTCAAATGAAACAGTGCTTTCTTGTGTCCAGTCCCTGTGGATTAGAAAGCAAGACCAGACAGTACATGGATTGAAAGTACCCATCATCTTAAATGATAGTATAGTACCAGTACTACCAGATTTGTAAAATTGAAATACCAAATTGGAACCTCAAAATCATACTTAAATAAAAAAAACCCAAAAAACTACACCATGGTAACTTTAAGGATGTTTGCATCCTTAATATGCAATCATATTGCCAAAAAGGTATGAAATATTTATATAATTCCATTCATTGCAACCTCCTTGAACTTTGATATCTCAGCTAAATTCTGCTGCACAATCATTCTCTATTGCTACACACTGGTTGCCAGAAGAACAATCATGTGCATGTAACACTTCTCTGAATTATTACACACAGATGTGACAATACGAAGAAAACTGAAGGTCATCTGAACATAGAGAATTGATTAAATATGAAAAAAAGCTCTCAAATACAAGCGCTCTTTGGATTTTTCTGGATTGTTGTACACTCTGGCCACAGATCATTTGTACAGGGGTCAAGCTTACTGTACAAATGCAGTCAGCATGATGCGTCAACAATGGTCCCTACTGACAAGTGAAGAATAGTCAGAATTAAGTATTAATGCCCCATGTTTTCAAACGGGTCTTAGATTTTAAAAGAATGACATACCTTATCATCAAGTTGTTTATACAGTTTAGCAATTTCTTCCTCACACTTTCTTCTCTCAGCATCAGTAAAACTGCCAGTCACTCCAATTGTGGCAGCTGGTTTATCATTAGTGATAGTAATATCTTTATCCACTGCAAAAGCTTCCAAGTTGGCTTTTTCTTTGTCAAACTGCTCATCAACTGGTACAGTCTCCCCTTAAATAAAAAAGTATAAGTATACTTTGTTATCAGATCACTTATGGAACTCTTTCACAGAATAAAATAATGCTGAAAAATATTAGATGCTGTATTTTCTGCATATAACCAGCACCAAACCAACTCGTGGAACAAACAGAAATATGTGCGAAATAGGGCTGCCCATGGGTCTGGAAACTGTGGCAGAGGAGTGGTGGCACAACTAACTGTCATGGCTCTGGGAGCCACAGCAATTCATGCTGCCACTGCTCCGCCACCACCATATTTCCAGACCCCTGGGGAATCCCCCAGCGAGATAACATGGCCCAGTGCACAGAACCAAGCCCACTGCACCGGCAAGAGGGAGGGTTGGCATATCTATGGGCATGGAAGCAGGCTCAGGAACAGGCTTGGCTTCCTAGCTGCTTACTATTCAGATACTTGGATACCCTACCCAAGATGAGATCCTGTTCTTTGAAAAAGGTAGCATAAAAGGGAAAGGAGGTGCATGCAAGAAGATACAGTATTTTCCAGTTATGGCAGATACGTTGTTTAAACATTTTTGAAGTATTTCATAGATTTAAGGCAAAAAGAGACCATTACGTTATCCAGCTTAACCACCTGTCTCTGTCACCAACTTTCATTTAGTTATCCTGCTTTGAGCCTAATAACTTTCTGGAAGATATGCTTCAAATGAAAGGTATTCAGCTCTGAAAATCATCAAGAGACTGAGAATCTATTAATTCCCTTGATAATCTACTCCAACAGTCACCACTGCTATTAAAATTGTGCCTATTTCTTCTTTCAGTTTGTCTGGTTTCAGCCAAATAGCTTTCAGCAATTGTTGACAACACCTAATCTCTTAAAATTCTTAGATAACACCAACCCTCTTGGAACTTCACTATAAAAACCTCTTTTTTCAGGTTGCTGTCTTCCAAGATACAATTCTCTGTTCTGTATTTATGGCCTATGTTTCTAAATGAATACAACTTAGTGGTATTTTGTTAGAACACGCCCAACTCTTAAGGAATTCCAGACTGCTCTTATGATTGCCACCATCCTCATAAATTACAATGCCACAGAGGTTGATGTAAATAATCAGAAGCAGTTTTATATTTAGTTCAAGATTCCTAGTATCAATCCCTACAATTTTCTACCAACTACTACTGAGATATGTCTATTGGTTCTTAATCTGTTTAACTACCAATAATCAGAACCTTAAGTAGTGCTTATCAGGCACTCCAGGAGCTACTGAAGTGAAAAAAAAGCAATTAACCGAATTTTCATGTACTACTAACTTACCTGTAAGAAATCGGTTCCACATTAAAACTGGCTACACTATTTTATGGTAGTAGTTAAAATGAACCAGAAGAGCAAAATGACTAAAGTTTTTAAGGCTGAAGCTTTTTATCTAGTTTAGGCACCTACAACTAAATAAGACACCTAAAACCTTGGGAAACAATGTAAAATTTTTTGCTATATTAGACTTGAAAAAAAAAAAAAAAAAATTAAATCCCATTTTTGCATAACAAAAGCCACAAACAAGCTCCTCACCATTGCGCCATCTGTTGAGCTCATTTTCAAGCCACTGTATGGTGTTACGTAGGGTCTTGTTTCTCTCTTTTTCTCTTTCATACTTCTTTTTCCATTGTTCTGCAGTCAGTTCCACATTGACACAGACTGTGTTCTTAATGGTCTTGGCTCTGGAAAGAAGGATTTATTAGTGAGCCATCCTGGACCAGTCAGATATAACGATACTATTTTACCTGCACATCGGACAAGCAATTGATTAAATACATCGTGCATCAGCAATACTGCATTTGAATGTTCATACTCACAATATGCATTAGTTATTTGAGATTTTATGTAAGACAATTAGGGAGTATAACGAAGTCATTCAATACTAAGTCCACACTGCCCTCATTTTCTTCTACCATCAACATACATTCAGGATGCAGACTAGTTAGCAGAAATAATGCTAATACCAGATATTTACAAAATTGAAATCCATGTGTAATGCACAAATTATTCTAAAGCTGGTTTTTTTGTTGTGTTTTTTTGTTGGTGTTTTTTTTTTGTCTTTTAGACAGAATGAGGGGTTTAAGCTAAGAAATGTCTTAAAAAAAATTTTTTTTTTTTAAATAAAAGGAGAGGATGTGTACCCTGGCAAACTACCTGAAACTCACCAATTCTCTCATGTCATCTAAAATATATTCCACATTCTCCATTCCAAGATTAGCTGTTGTTATAAAACCCTGAACTCCAGTAACGTTAGTTTCTTATGCCCCTATACCATCACCCTACTCTTCAAAACTGATATGCAATGCATGTAAACTTTTGCTGGATTTAAACTTAAGTTATAACCTAAAAAGAAGTGTTACTACAAGGATCTACCAGCTATGCACCAATAGAGATTTTTGGGGCCAATACCAATAGCCAATTTAAAAAAAAAAAAAAAAAAAAAGCATAAATCGGCCAATACCAATCCGATTTCTAATACGCAGCCCTGCAGCTTGAAGAGCAACGTCCGGCTGGTAAGTCTGTTGTGGTGGAAGGGGAGAAGGAAGGGAAGAGGTACAGGGGAGCAGATCAAAGCCCCTGCGGTGAGAGAGGGCGTGGGACTGGGGCAGGGCTGCTCAGCCGGGGTGGGGCAGCATGCGCTCCCCGATCTGTGCAGGGCAGGCAGCGCTGGGAGAAGGGCTACAGGGAGGGCTGCAGCCACCCCAAAATTTATTGTAGTGCCCCCAACCCGCCTCCCAAAGTTGCCACCGCCTGCCCTGAGCGCAGCCCACCCCAGCCCTCCCCAGGAAAAGCCTGGCGCAGCCCCAGCCCACAGATGCAGCCCACACTGTGAGCATATCCGGGGGCACATGTCCCACTCCCGTGCCCTCCCAGGGTATGTGCAGTGGCAGGAGCTGCTCCCCCTCCCCAAGCTCCCTGGACGAGCCTCGGCTCTGTCCAACGCCTTGCCCCAGCTGGGCAGTGCATACCCCAGCCCCACTCCCTCCCTCACCATGGGGGCTTGATCTGCCCCGCCCCCCCACGCCCCTTCCCTTACCCTTCCACCCTCCCTTTCCACCACAGACTTATCAGCTGCACAAAGCTCTCCATGCTGCCGGGCTGTGCTCCTCACCATCTACAAGCTGTGCTGTGGCTGTGCATATGCAAAGGCCATTTAATCGGCCACATCAGGCCAATTTCTGATACAGTCAATTTTCTTTATATTGGTGCTGGACTAATGTATTAGTGCACTTCGATGATCTACCATATTTACTCAAATCCAAGATGAATTGTCTCCTCCTCCCCCCACCCCCAATTCGTGTGTGTGCGTTGGGCGGGGAAGGGAGTTCTTTGCTTTAGGTTTAAGTACAAGGTAGGGGACAGGGGTTTGCAACTGCAGCCTCTGCCCCTCCCCTGCTTATCTTCCTGTCACAGCTCTGGCAGCCCAGGGCAAAGAACACATGCTACCTCTGGCCCTTGCCCGGCTATGCAGCAGCAACAACAGTGACAGTTCTGGTCTCAGCTCTAGGGCTGAAGCAATTGCCCCTGCAACCACTGCTGCATGGCCAGGCAGGGCCATCAGCTGGTTGCATATGCTCTGTGCTCCCCACCATGGGCCATGCAACAAGAAGGTATACGGCAGCAATGGAGTGGAGGGATTGTACACTGGGGGAGGCAGGGGGAATAAGAAAGAAGGGCAGGCAAATAGATAGGTGCCAGGGGATGAAGGTACCATGGGGAGGGGCAGGAAGGTCAGGCCATTTGACTCCCCTGCCACCTGTCCCCATCTGGTCTGTTCATCCCCCTCATCTCTTGCCACTGATTACACCACTGCAGTTTTTGTTTTGGTTTGGCTTGTTTGTTTGTTTGTTTGTTTGGGGGGGGGGGGAAGAAGTGACAAATAACTTTAAGAAAGCACCTTCCAAAATCAGATTCTATACATGGAAAAGAGTTAAACATATTTATAAAATTTCCGTGTCTAGGATAAATTTGAAGCCACCTTGGATTCAGGAAAAATATGGTAACTGTATTTATAAATGTTTTTACTTAGGAGACCATTAGATTTCACATGGTATCACAGAAAAGAATGTAAAAGCTCTCAGGAGGGTTTATGAGAATTATTTTTGCTATCAAGTAACTGAAGAACACCTAAAGTGAAACTTATGCAGAACTCAAGTGACCAGTCAGAAAAAGTGATCCAAATCAATCCTACACTAGAAGCCACATCAGCAGCAAACTAGGTTCTTCCATTTTAGTCTGAAAAGACCCCTAATGCACCCAGATTTAGATGTTTGAGCATCAGAAGTGATTCAGTTAAAGCAACTAGATACCACTTATACTCTACTGCAATCCAGACTGGAGCTGGGAGTTGTCAGAGGTCTGCTTAAGGCAGAGATTTTTTTTTATAGGGGTGCCATGGTGCATGCCCTACCGTTGCATTCAGGTAAGAGTGCCCCGTATGCCTGGTGGGCCACAAGACCGAAAAGGGCTGCAGTACATGCACACTCTCCTGCCTCATTAGGATTCTTTGAGAAGCCTGAAGGAGGCTGGAAAGCCTGCTTGTACTGCAGCCCTTCCTAGTCCAGTCTCCCCACACACTTCCTCACCTGCCCTGTGCACCTACTTTCAGGAGATGCTGTGCAGGGTTGGACTAGGAAATGCTGCAGCATGAGGTGGCCCTCTGCTTTAGGTCTATCAGAGATACCTAATGGAGGCCAGAGAGAACATATGTCACTGCTCCATGAATTTTGTGCATAGCCCACCCAGGAAGAGCTGTGCTACCTGGCAGTGGCTGAACTCAGCTGAAAACCTCTGAAGTAAACTGAGACAACAAAATAGCAGTTCTCAACCAGGGCTGCTGCAAAATTCAAGAGAGCTGGGGAAGGATACCCTGACTAAAAGGGTTAAGAATGACTAGCCTAAGGCTCTGGGCAAACATATATTATAACCACTTTAAAAAAAAAAAAAAAAGGAGGAGGAAGCTGCTGCTCAACAATAGGCCAGCTTTTACGTTGCTGTTGCATCTGCAGTCTCCCACAGTTGATACACAAGTTAAATAAGTCCCTGTAACTAACCCAAAAGGTTTTACTGCACTTGCATACAGGCATAACAGTTACAGCACAACAGCTTATAGTGGTATCATTTGATACTGATACAATTTACATCACTCTCCTGGGAAGTTCAGTACCAAGTCATCACCTAAACTCTGTAGAGGAGCAAGAGTTCAACCACAGCCCTGCGGATACCATTTCCTACTGATATCTATAAGTACTTTCCTAATTAATGTACCAGTACTCTGGAGGTACTTAATGCTTTCCAGTGCCTGTATTAGAATTAGGGGTGTGCGAAGAGGGCCATGTTCAATTTGGATTTGGCACAATTCAGGGGACAGTGATTCAATTAGTTGATTCGGATTACTGTCCCGATTCAGATTCAGCCGAATCAAAGATTTGGCCACAAACACAGCTTTAAGTGTTTTTTCTACATACCTTGAGGTACCAGGCACGGCTCATGAAAGCTGAGATGGTGGGACGGCTGGAGCATCTCACTGGAGCATGCCCCCCCCCCCGCATGATTGGTGGTGAACCCGGAAATGGACTGGAAATGCTTCTGGTCCACTTCCAGGTCTACCACCAAGCGCGCGGTGGACCCCCTCCCCCAGCTCGGCAATTGGCTGCGGGGGTCCCCAGGTGCCCCCCAGACACAGGAGGCACCAGTTGCTGAGCTGGGGGGTGGGGGTCCCCCCCACGTGCCCTGCAGCAGACCCAGAAGTGGACTAGAAGTGTTTCTGGTCCACTTCCAGGTCCGCTACCAAGCATGCCGAGGACACCCCCCCCGCCCACGCTCCCATCGGATGATCCATTCACCCCACCATCTCAGCATTCATGAGTTGCCTGGTACCTTGAGGTATGTAGAAAAAATATATATAAAGTTGTGTTTATGTCCAAATTGTCGAATCTCTCCGAAATCGATTCAGAGAGATGAAAGGGTCTCCTGATTCAAATCAGATTTGCAGATTCGGCCACCAAATCAAGTCAGCGACTGAAGTATCGCACAGCCCTAGTTTGAATCCTGACCTGATCTATTGATTTCAAAGTGGCAAAGTAACCACCCGACTTCAGCAACAAGAACCTGGGAGGATACACATACAAACTACTGGAGACAAGTTCTGAGTCCCTTCAGTAACAGTACAGAAGAGGGAAAATTTCCTGTCCCCCAGCCACAGAACCCAAGTATTAAAGGAAGGATGAAGCTGGGGAAATAAAGTTTAATTTTAATAGGATAAATTGTTTTCCTAATAGCATTGTTCCAGCTTAGTTTTTAAGAAGGCTTACAAAGGAGACAAAAGAGATTAAGTTAAAAAAACCTCATCAGTGCATGATATATTGCAGCAGTCATCATGTTCTTCACCTAGTTCTTAGACCAAGAAAAATGTTCTGGTAAGTTTTAGAATTAACCCATTTACTTTCCATATTAAATTATTCTCCTAGAAACTTTATCCGTTAAATTAAATTTTCCCAGGCAGAGAGGCATGCTACAGCAGAACAATGACTATTTGAAGTAGATCAGATTAAGTAAAGAAATGTGCAGAACATTTCAGTGTACAGAATGATAAGAATTCAGTTAGAAAACGGAGTACTACAAATCAGACACCTAAGTAGCAGGACAGAAAAACAGATACATGACAAAAATAGCTAAATTCTTAAGAGTTCATAACAAAGAGCCTAACCCCTTTACTTTCTGGAAGAAATGTTTCATTAACCTAGAATGAAATTGAGTTTCTAGTTGCAATTGAGTGTTTCTACTCTAACCAGACTGTCAGCTGAACAAAACAGGCCCTACCAAGATTTTAAGAACTTGCACAGAAGAGAATTGTGTGTACAGTAAAGGAATGAGTGAGTAGCGCAGAGCTGCTTTTAGTTTGTTTCACTTTTCTCTTAGCTTCTTCCCCAGGGCCTATACAGAGCCTTTTCCAGTAATTGCAACAACAAGCTAAAAGTAAAACTCAAGACGCAGATAAAGCAGGACTCCAATGTTTTCGTTACTTTCTCCTGTTACATTTTATAAAGATCTTTTCTTCCTCCCCTGTCAAGTTCTCTACTGAATTGCTCTTAATGTCATCCATTGTTATTTTCTATATATGCACTCATACTTATCTATAAATAATATATTCCCAATTGATAAAGACTGATCCAAAAATGGCATAAGGGAGATGCTTAGATGAGCAGTCAAAGACACATGGTTTCCAGCAGGTAGGAACAAAATTCAGGGTATAGTCCCTAGATCTTATTTCAACTGTTTACAGTGTAGGAACAGCTTTTTAGTGGGGTTACTACTCCTTTACTCCATCTTCATTTGAGACTTCCTCAACCAAGAACTCCATTACCAAGTTCTACTTCTACTCAGTACTTTCACAAACTGCTGCAAAGCAAGATCCCTCCGATTCTCTGAAGCTCAGTAGCAAAGTAGAAAACTCTCTCACACTGGTCATTTTTCACTCTACAGCAGCAACTTAAGATGCCAAACACAACATTATTGCTATCAGATAAAAATGCTTAGTTTAAAAATAGAAATCTAGAAACTGCTGAAGCAGGTAGACCAATACCACCACACTCACACTTGCTAGAGTTGAAAACTCCTACTTGTTAGAGCAAATAGATACTGACAGTGTAGACATTATTATGTGAGTAATTAAATGGTTAGCAATACAAGTTTAAATGTTTACAGTAACTGATAAATTCACAAATGGTTACAGCTCCTAAATTGCACGTTACTCTGGCTTAGCATAGGTTTCCCCCCCTTATATTCTCCACTTGAAAAGCTAGGAATGAAATATTAACATGTAAATTGCATGTACAATCAGTAGCAGCCTTTAAAATCTCAAACTACTTGCTAAGATCAGACAGACATGGTAACTGAACGTTTCTTTCAGCATCTTAACTTCCAATAATTAGTCATTAAGATGGACAGAGGGATGAATAAAAGATGTAAAACCAAAGTGTAAACAGGCCCTCAGTGGGTGCATCTACATGTGCACTTACTCCCCAAACAATAAAATGTGGTCCAGTTCGTGCCAGTCAGCTACCCCAAGCACACTATTTACATGTGCGCCTGAGACAGCAGCAATTCGAGATGGGGCGCAGCAGCCTCAGGTGGCCGGGG